TCCCGCACGACGATGGGGCCTGGATGCAGCTGCGTCACCACGGGCTCCCCATCTCGGGGCTGCCGGGAAGAGACCGAGGGAAGACGTGGGGCCCCCGCATGCTCCCCAGGCCAGACCCCCCAGCACCTCTTTGTCCCTTGTCCTCACATCTCCCCCTCCTCCATCCTGTCAAAAGATGACCCTTTCAGACGACCGTCCCCAGAGCCTGTGTCTGAGTGGTCTGTCCAAGTGGAGCCTGCAAGACCCTTGCTCCTTAGCCGGGCATGGTAGTGCGCACCTGTAGTTTCGGCTACTCGGAAACCTGAGGCGGAAGGATGGCTGGAGCCCCACAGGTCAATGCTGGGGTGGCCGGGAGCGGCCACTGCACGCCAGCCTGGGCGGCAGAGTGAGACTCCAATTCAAGAAAAAAAAAGATCCCTGTTCTGCTCCTCCTAGACCCCTCTCTCTGACCTTGGTGAGTTTGGATATTCCCACGGGCCCTTACAGCCAAATGGTTCTTCTCTCCCTCTTTTTGAGTCAGAGTCTCACTCTGTAACCCAGGCTGGACTGCAGGGGCACTCTCACGGCCACCACTGCCTCAACCTGCTGGATTCCGGCAATCCTTCTGCCTCAGCCTTCCAAGTAGCTGGAACTACAGATGCATGCCACCATGCCCGGCTAGTTTTTGTGATTTATTGTAGAAACGAGGTCTAACCAAGTTGCCCAGGCTGGTCTCGAACCCCTGGGTTCAGGCAATCCTCTCGCCTCAGCCTCCTAAAGTGCTGGGATTACAGGCTGAGCCACGGCGCCTGGCCTTTGTTTTTTTTTCTGAGTTGGAGTCTCACTCTGTTGCCCAGGCTGGAGTGCAGGGGCACGCTCAGGGTCACCACAGTCTCAACCTGCTGGGCTCAGGTGATCCTTCCACCTCAGTCTTCCAAGTAGCTGGAACTGCAGGTAAGCACCACCCTGCCCGGCTAGTTTTGTGATTTATTGTAGAGATGAGGTCTTACCAAGTTGCCCAGGCTGGTCTTGAACACCTGGGCTCAGGCGATCCTCTCACCTCGGCCTCCCAAAGTACTGGGATTACAGGCATGAGCCACCGTGCTCGGCCTCTTCTCCCCCTCTTGATAACCACCCTCTCCTTTTCTTCCATCCCTTGAATGTCCCCGTCCCCTGCCCGGGGTGCCAGGCCTCCTCTTGCTCTGAAAATCCACCCACTCAGTCAAAGCCCAGAGTCAGGGCTGCCCCGCCAGGGAGGACCAGCACTGGCCCCCCAGGTGATGGCGACTGCCTCCTGCCCGCTTCTCCCATCTCGGTCACTCTGGAAAGGCCAAGCAACCACCACTGAGCATCCTGGCCCCACCCCAAACAGCGGCTTGACGGGCAGCTAACTGGGCCACCCCTCCCCCCACGCACCGGGATGCCCAGGCCAGGAGCGTCAAGGATGCAGAACTCGTCGCTGTCCAGAGTGTCCCCATCCCCTTCCTCTTCCTTTTCGTCGTCCTTGGCCTCTGTGCGGGACCCTAAGCTGCCAGGGGGGTCCCCGGCGGGGGGCGGAGGGGGCTGGGCCCCACTCCGCTCACCTGGGAACAGGTAGACGGAGACGGGCGAGGCCTGAGGGAGGGGGCCACCTGTTGGAGAGAGGGGCCAGTTTGGAGATGCCCACGACGGGGGCTTGGCTGTGTCTGCAGTCCCCAAGGCGCCCCCACGCCACCTGAGGGCTGGGCCAGCTCCCGCAGGCTGCGCTCCGTGTCCAGCAGGGCGTCGGCCAGGTCCCGCTGGTTGATGAGGGCCGTCTCCACCGGGGGGCACGAGGACAGGGAGGCAGGGCTCTCGGAGAGCTGGGCCGGGCAGGGGTGGGGCCGTGAGT